GACATGGGACGTCTTCACAAAAGAGGCACACTGACACAGACCAGTGAGGCAAAGGGTCCAGAACAAAGAGACAAGGGGGATGGGGGACGTTTATGGCTTGAGGTACACAGTCAAAAAAACGCAAGCGCAAAATATCAAAAAGCTCCACGGAAAAACCCCTTATGTGGTTCTGCATTAAGGCTGCATCAGCTGCAGATGATATACAAGATGAGGAGGATGTTTGCAAATTACCTTTCAATAGGGTTTTTACTAACATTATTTGGAGATTTTGTTCACATATCTTTTGCTTCTTGAGGCCGAGGCATGAACATGGAGAAACATATTAATTTGATTTCACCCATTTGACACTTTCATTCCATTTGCCTCAAGTGGCCCTCAATGGGCGTCTCACCTCCCGCTCTAATTAAAATGATGTTTTGAAAAGAATCCTTTCACTCCGTCCAGCTAATAGATAAACGTGTAAAGACTCCATCTCCAATAGAACCTCCGTCAAATGGAGATCATACAGGGCAAAAGCAGGAGAACAACCAGCTGGATGCTCAGTGTTGGCATAAAGCGCCTTCGAATTCACGCTGACAAAGCTAAAGATTGCACATGCAATTATTTTTGGTGCACAAAGGAGGTTAAGTTGTTTTGACCAACCTGGAGGGACATTGTAAAGGGAAAGTCAGAATGCAAGATAAAAGCAAATGTAGATAGATAGATAGATAGATAGATAGATAGATAGATAGAGAGAGAGAGAGAGAGAGAGAGAGAGAGAGAGAGAGAGAGAGAGAGATAGATAGATAGATAGATAGATAGATAGATAGATAGATAGATAGATAGATAGATAGATAGATAGATAGATAGATAATAAATAAATAAATGGGCTAATCAGTATTTTCTCTTTTTTAAGCAATTAAACACTTCAGAAAAACAAATCGTATTATATAATTTTGCTCCTCAAGTTAATGCATCTTGTTTTATGACAAATCAAGGATGTTTTGGTATTTTTACTTGAAAATGCATTCTTTGCACATCAGCATGGGTAGCAACGCCAAGGCCATGGGTTTGATACTGATATGCCGTTGAATCGAAAGTTGCTTTGGACAAAAAGTGTCCACCGGATACATTATTGATGTAAATAGAAAAGTAACTAGGCCTATTAAAAAAGACAGAAACAAATCAACTCTCCGGATTAAACTGTATTTTGGGGGGTAAATGATTCACTGTGATCCGACATGTACATGCTGCATCTGAGAGAGACGGATTGACGTCAGAGTATAGCTCTTCTCTGGGTTGATTGAGCCTCAAGAACAGACATCTGAGCAATACAACATTATAATTAATATCTGTCTGAGAGGTAAACATTTCTGTCTGGGAAGATGCTCTAAAGATTTTTATTTAGACATGCACTCATTAAAAATCTATCTATCTATCTATCTATCTATCTATCTATCTATCTATCTATCTATCTATCTATCTATCTATCTATCTATCTATCTATCTATCTATCGTTCTATCGTTCTATCTATCGTTCTATCTATCTATCGTTCTATCGTTGTGAATGTCAGCAGTCTCAATTGTTTTTGGTATAGCTGTATTGTTTACCAATACATTTAGGCTACCTGAAAAGCAAAACTGTAAGATAATAAATCTAAGTCTTTCATACTCAATCGGATAACTTAAGCACAAATATTATATAATTTTGTGAGGTTTATGCTCTAAAACAGTTTGCCAATAGGATGAGAAAAACAATCAATTTCAATTATTATACAGGGCTGTTGAATGCTTGAAGCTGATTGGTTGATGTCACGTTTTTAAGGTGTGCAATTTCAACAAGGCTAAAGTAGTTCCCGGCAGGTTTGACCGCATTATATTACATTTATATGACTTCGCGAGATCGCGTAGTTGACTGTAAAAACGGAAAATATAATTCATTACAAGAAAAAAAGCGCTTGATCTGCAATTTTCGATGTCTAACTTCACAATCAATGGAAACATGCAGTTTGATTTTACTAAATAAATAGGGCCTATATAGTCCTATATAGCCAATAGAAAATTAAACTGAATATATAAATAGGCTACATTGATACTGTTGCACGGGTTCAACAAAAGTGCCCCTGAACCCTCTGATGCACACTGAGGGCCAATAGTGTTTCAATCTCCTTCACTACACTGCCCCTATGTGGACATACAGCACATAACATCTAACAATACTCATTCAGAAGACATCATAATGCATGTGGCCTTATGAGAGAGTCATTGACCAAAATCAGTTAGCACTTCTCTCCATATGCCTAAATGAATGCAACTGAGAGAAAATGATCAGGTCGGGCTGGTTGTCACATAGTCTTACTTCAATTTGTAAAGTTCACTTATTGTTTAACTGTTTGCTGAAAATCCTGCAAATGGCAAGACAAGTCACTTTTCTTTATAGCTCTTTATACCAAAATAATTGTTTCACAGCAACTTCACAGTAATAAACAGAAAAAAATATTAAATTCACATTGCTGTTCTCATTTAATAGTGTTTAAACCCCAACAAAGCAAGCCAAAGAAGACAGTGGAAAGTCAAAACTTACGTGACAGAAACCAAACTCACAACTCAAACTGACAACTTAACCCGTCGAGTGTGACAACATTCCCTGCTATTGGCCAAGGCTTTAAGTTGTGTCTATATAGAAAACAATTTGTAGGCTATTTTACATTTAAAAATCAGTTTAAAAACAATACACATCTCATTGTTTTTAGATCTAACCTTAAAAATGGAAATTCTGTCATCAAAAGAAGATTTTTTGAAGACAAAATAGGGGCCAACCAGTTGATGAGCCCCATTGACTTCCATAGTATTTCTTTCCCCCCCATACTATGGAAGTCAACGGGGAACATAACTTGTTTGGTTTGGCCCATTTTACTTCAAAATATCTTCTTTTGTCTTCAGCAGAAGAAATAAACTCATACACGTTTGGAACAACATTATAGGGTGAGTAAATGATGATAGAATTTTAATTCAGAATTTTTGGGTGAACTATATATTTAAGGACTAGGCCTATATTAGGCTACTCATTCCTTTGGCTATTGGCACTAAGTTCTCTGTTAACAAACCCCTACTGGGAAATATAGGTCAAAAGCCTCCTCGGCAAACGGCACCTACTGATAAAGTTACTTCATGGATGTGTTGCTACAGATGCTGTGGGGCTTTTTCCTCTCAACCCTGCAATCTCAAGTGTTGAGGAAACACTTCTACAGCGGAGCCGATCCTGGCGATAACGTGTAAACTGTCTGAATCTGCATAGCTGTGTGGCGTCCGAAAATACTGACTAAGTTATCCTAAATAAATACCCTCAAACTCTTACTAACTAACCAATTAAAGCGTCTTATCCTTAGGTAATGTCCATATTTCTATCTTTTTCTTGACTCGGCCTGACAAAAAGTGAGTAATTTTTACACAAACTTGAATTAAAAACCTAAATAATCCACTCGGTTGAGTTACACACGCAAGTTGAGTTCATATGCAAATATGAACAAATTATAGCATATAGCTATAAACAAATTATAGCATATAGCAAACAGTATACTAATTTTAGTAACAGTAGGTCTATGTTTGATTTATTTTAGAAAGTAGATAAGTGCCCGTCATTACAAATTAAATTCAGGGCTATCAAATTAATTTTCCTGAATGCTACGATCACAGTACTGGAAATGATCTTTGGCGACCCCTGCTGGTTGAATTTAAATGTTCATTTAATGTTAAATTGGACGAGATTAGCATCAAAGTTAGCCATTATTACATACAAAAACGTCTTACACCTATTAAAAAACATATGTAACAGTGACAGAATCAGGTCAGTAAGATTTTCCTGAAAGAAATGTATAACTTTAATCAGTAAGGATGCATTAAAATGATCAAACATGACAGTAAAGACATTTATAGTGATATTTCAAATACATGCTGCTCTTTTAAAGTTTCTATTCATCACATGAAGAATCGTGTGATACTGAAGACAGGAGTAATGATGCTGAAAACAGTTCTCAGTTTACTGTATTTTGATCAAATAAATGCAGCCTTGGTGAGCATGGGACTTCTTTCAAAAACATTAAATCGTCTTATTGAGCCCATATTTTTAAACAAAACGTTTTAAATTATAGTTAAGATTAGCTTATGGATGACGTTTGAATGGTAGTGTATTAGCATGGATGCAATGAATGATTGCCATACTCGTGTGCTGAGGGAGAAGCCTACATATGTGAATCAACAATTAAAAGCTGTTGTAAGAAGAGTGTAAAATGATTATAAAAAGTGGTAAATATGATTGTGACTGGTCAGGTAAGCACACATTACTGCACTAACCCCATCTCTACCTCTCTGTCTCACACACACACACGCGGTTATAATTACACAGGATCTGTTGATCTTTGCTCTACCGGAGCTGCATATGGAGTCTCCCTGCCTAATGCAAAGTTCTGGTTAAACATTGTCCCAAGGTTTGCGTTCTGCCTTCTGTTGTTTTTACACTAAAGCCCTGGCAATTGTTGGAGGCATTATTGACTTTGTAATTAAACTATTTTAACGTCAGGATTTTGTAATCATTACATTTCAAGCCATCTGTTCCTGTCCGAGGCTTGAAATGGATTTTCCCTTTGAGGAGATAAAGGCCAGCACAATGTGGCCAGTTTTATCATTTATCGTCACGTCTTTACACACAGACGAATGCTGAAATCCTGAAATACTCGCCATGGCTCGGAGTTTGCACCAGCAGCATACACACAAATATATTATGATGCAATGATATCATTTCAGCCGATCTGATTATGGATTTATTAACGTCCATCTGCTCCAAGACTAACAAAGCTAAATTTAAAGAACGCAGTGTACGAACAGCTTGTGGCCTGGATGCCTAGTTTTAGTCAACACACCTTCATCGACTTGCACGTTAACCTAGTGAACAATGCAGAAATCAGCTTATCCAATGTCACATTTTTCACAGTTAGTTTAATAAATTTCAGCCTCCAGAATAATGCGAACAAATTGTATATTTTTTATTAGTATATACAAGAATGCTATACTAAGAACAAAGATGAATTGTGATTATATTACAGTATTTACTACACAAAAGATAATTGTATAATTGGGTCACCTGTCATTTGTTAGCACAACCCCCCCATTTCAAATCAAACAATATAAAATAAATCAGTTAGCCAGTCTGCAATGTATGTGGCAATGAAATATCTACTGTAAGATTTACAGATGAACTAAAACATGTGAGTATAATGTAGAATTACAGATAAGGTGTCAGTCAGGCTGGCCCACCAGTTGAGCCCATGAACACGGTGTTGATGGGGGGCAGGGACGACACGATTTCTCTGATCTCTGTGGTTCCCTGGACAGGCAGCAGTGCATTCTGGGAATGATAAGGAGCAGGAGTTCCATACATGCAGGGTGTTGAGACGGAGCAGGAATGAGCGATGCTGGATCCTGAAATAGAATAGAAATTGCATAAGACTGATATAATAGCAGATATACATCTTTTATATGTACTGTATATATATACATTAGTGGTCACACTCCGTACAAAGCATGTATTCTTGGCCAGAAAACAGCTACTGAACATAAATAAAGAATAAAAATGTATTTTATTAAAAACACATTGAGCAAGGCAAGTTGTCACAGTAAGAACCTGCCATTAAATAGGTATTTAATTATGTTATTAGGCAATTAATGAAATGCAACATTTTACAAAAATACAATACCATTGAAAAGTTTGGGGTCAGTAAGTTTACCACTTTTAAACACTTTTATTCAGCAAGGATGCATTAAATTGATCAAAAGTGACAGTACAGACGTTGATTTAGAATAAATGCATTCATTCATTAAAGAATCACTGACTTTTTTTGGTTTCCACAAAAATATTGAAAATATTAAGCAGCACAACAATAATACGAAATGTTTCTTGAGCAGAAAATACTCATATTAGAATGATTTCTGAAGGATCATGTGACACTGAAGACTGGAGTAATGATGATGAAAATTCAGCTTTGACATCACAGGAATAAATTATATTTTAAAATAGATTAAAACAGAAAACTTATTTTAAATTGTAATACTATTTCACAATATAACTGTATTTTTGCTCAAATAAATGCAGCCTTGGTGAGCATAAGAGACTTCTAAACTAGACTACAGACCCTAAACTTTGGAAGGATCGTGTACAAATAAAACGTGAGATATAGCACCCGTGTGACAACTAGCCCCGGTCTCCCCTAGAAGGATTTCTGTCCTCACCTGCTGTGTGTGTGCCCATTGCAGACAGTTCAGTGTAGTAGGGCCTTGTTGTCTTCCTGCTCGTGTTGTCCAGGATGTTCAGAGGGTCGTGCACTTCGGCGTAGGCTGAAACAGAGCGAATGCTGCTCACGCTGCTGATAACGGACACATGCTGATCGATAAACGTGCCCATTCTCTGAGCGTCCACATAACCACTGCTGTTGTAATATCCTGCTCAGGAGAAAGATGAAAAATAATATAGTTCAATAGGAGCATCTGCAAACAAACTGAGCAGAATAATAACATAACTCAAATACATGATCAATCTTGTCCTCTGAGGACCTCTTTCAGTTTTGGTTCTTGTTATATGTTACAGATAAATTTGGGGGTAAAGAAAATAAGGTAAATCACTTCTTTTATTTCATTGTATGTTTATATTATTATTCCTGGTTACACTTTATTTCGATGGTCCCCATTAGGCCTTCTGTTGACTATGTTGCACCAACATGTCAACTACCTCTCAATAGAGTATTAGTTGAGTATTAGTAGACTGTTAGGGGTAGGGTTAAAAGGTAATTCAAAGTTACTTATAGTCAGTAGAATATCTGTTGGAGGACTATTACAATTAAAATCTTAGCAGATATTAACCAGTCTACTATTATTCTACTAATACTCTGATGAGAGTTAGTTGACATGTTGGTGCAACATAGTCAACAGAAGGCCTAATGGGGACCATCAATATATATATATATATATATATAAAACCCCTGCAAAATTACAAAAAAGGAATATTGAAGAAAGGATAGGAAATGCATATTATATATTCTTTCCATTGATTTTAATATATTCCATTTTTTTTAAATAATTGCATTAATAAAAGACAAAAAAAGAGACAACATTTGAACTAAGGTCACCACTAGGAATGTCTATACACATAAGCTAACTTACATTTTTTTAAATATTTTTTTATCTAACTACTACGATTCAAAATTTTTTTTAATTTAAAGTCTCTTATGCTCACTATAGCTGCATTTATTTGCTCAAAAATACGGCAATATTGTGAAATATTATTACAATTTAATCTATTTGAATATGTTTAAAATATAATTTAATACTGTGATGCAAAGCTGAATTTTCAGGCTCATTACCCCAGTCTTCAGTCACATGATCCTTCAGAAATCATTCTACTATGATGATTTGCTGCTCAAGATTTCATATTATTATTAATGTTGAAAACAGTTGTGCTGAATACTTTTTCAGGATTCTTTGATGAATAGAAAGTTCAAAAGAACCGCATTGACCCCCAACTTTTAAACTGTATAAGTGCATTCTTAATTTCAGCTTCTCTTACCATTGTGCCCAGAGCTGCAAACCGAACCAGCGCACCCATCTCCACTGGCAGCACTTCCTCCAAAGCTGTACCCTGTGGAGTCCAGCAGCTGTACGCCCTCAGTGTCCATCGCAGGGTCACCTGCGGCAGCGTATCCAGCCGATGCAACCCTCGAGCTGTAGGGAGACCCGGTACAGCTGCTGCTGAAGCAGTCTTTAGTCAGTTGGTGTCCAGAAAAGGGTGCGTAGCGTCCGCTTTCAGTATGAGCCTGATAGGCTGACGTGGGAGTGTGAGTCTGAGCTCTGAACACAGGCTGGTAGTAAGAGGAGTTGGGGTAGGAGCCAGAACTAGCATTGTGAAGACTCTGGTACATGGTGTCGGGGAAAGTCTGGCAGGACAGTTGGGGTTGTATGGGGCAGCTGCTCTGCGGCCTCACAGCCATCGGGCCTTGGTTGATCACGCTGCTACGGTTGATCATGGCTGGAGAGATCGGAGGGGTCATCAGGGGGGCGCTGTTCTGCGAGTAATCCATTTGACCTAGAAAAATATGAATCATTAAATTCATATAAATGATGTTACAATTATGTATTATATTTTTAATAATCATTTTATGTTATTTAGACTACCGGTCAAGATTTTGTTTAATTTAGATTTTTTTTTTTTTTAAAGGTTTTTGAAAGATCTTTTATGCTCACCAAGCCTGCATTTACTTCATAAAAAAATACAGTGAAACAGAAATATTGTGAAATATTAGTATAATTTAAAAAAATATTATAATTTAGGCAATGCTGTATTTTCAGTCACATGATCCTTCAGAAATCATTCTAAATTGCTGATTTGCTGCTTAAGAAATATTTCTTATAATCATCAATGTTCAAAACGATCCATTAAATTGATCAAAAGTGATTGTTGCTGCAAAAGACTGTTTTCAACATTGATAATAATAAAAACTATTATTAATAACTTAGCACCAATAATAATTGGTAATAAACTATTAGCAAATCAATTATATTGAAGTTGATATCACAAAAATTGGAGCCCGCTAAAAGGTTTTAAAGTACCTTTTCCAATTTCAAAATGCCAAAAGTGTCCCGCAATTTGCAATGTTACTATTCATTTTGTTTTGTTTGAAATCCTTTTGGAGAAAATGAATAGAAAAAATACTTCTGAAATAAAGGCTCCTGGAACATGTGCGCTCAATAACAAATCATTTTAACGAAAAAAATGTCTCTTTGTGTGTGAATTCGTCTTTGGAATTCCCTTCCAGAAAACCTAAGGGCTCCTCAAACCATAGACTCTTTTAAGAAAGGACTAAAAACCCTAATTTTTAAGCAAGCATTTTTTACCTTTTGCTAACTTTTTAATTTTTCTTCCCGGTTTTTATCTTTGTTTATTCTCTGTAGCACTTTGGGATTGTTTTTAACTATGAAAAGTGCTTTACAAATAAAATATATTATTATTATTTTTTTATTTTTTTTTTAAGTACCATTGATAGTAAAGTTGTCCGGATCGGTACTATGGTACACGATAGTACCGGCCCCGAGCCCCTGCTGTGCAGCTGTGAGCGACAGGAAATCATGTTCTGGAGGGTTCTCGTCCTTGACAGTCGAATCATTTGACGCCACACTGGATTTATTCCGATTGGCCAAGAAGCAGGAACTTGGGGAGGCGGAGAATGTAGCTTTACTAGCATCTGTCAAAATGGAAACATCACAGATAATTGGGTTAAATGAATTTGCATATACACCACCATTCAAAGTTTTGAGGTCAGTATGTTTTAACATTTTATTTTTAGGGAATAAAAATGAGTCAAGACATTTCTAATGTTACAAAGATTTATATTTCAAATGAATGCTGCTAAACCTTTGGTCTAATAACACATCGGTACCTAGTCAACCGTTCTCTGAGATTTGTTTTCATGATAATCGAATGTAAAGAGTTTTATCTCTAAAAACGGTTAGTATATGGGGGCATATAATAAGTAAAAAGAAATCGCTAGTTTATACCACTAACAAGGCTCAAAATAGCCCCACACTAACTCAGTAACATAATGAGGGTCCCTACATGCAAAACGAAGCATTGAGAACTTTGTAAGTGTACAGACCGTTTAATAAGAAGATATGAAAAGTCGAACCACGAATGACGTGCTGAGTGATCTGAACTCTATGAACGGTGTTCGTGGTTCAACTTGTCGAGAATTGTAATAATAATATTCACAAAATTACTGTATTTTTGATCAAATATTAAATATTAATGTATTTTTGAACAAATATACTGTATTTTTGGCCTTGGTGAGCCTTAGAGACTTTTTTCAAAAATATTTTTAAAAATCATACCGACCCTAAACTTTTGAAAGGCAGTGTTCAGTAAAATAACAAACTAATAAATATAAATAAAACGAAATTATTAGAGTACCTGCACTCCTCATATATTTCTCCAGTAGATTCTGAAGGTCCTGCTCTTTGTCATTGTTGAATTGCGTCTCAATTGCTAGCAGGATGTATTCATCCAAAAGCATCCGAATGAGGTGGAAGGAGCCTGTGAGTTACAAGAAACCAGCATGAAGGGATAGTTCACCCAAAAATGACAATTCTGTCATCATTTACTCACCCTCAAGTTGTTCCAAACCTCTGTCTTCTGCTGAACACAAAAGAAGATATTTTGAAGAATGATGGGCCAAACCCATCTATTTTTCAGTCCTATCAAATGTTGGGTTACCCATATTCTTACAAATATCTTCTATGTTCAACAGACGAAAGAAATTCATATTTCATATCTCTTTATGTAGTTATAGTAGGCTAGCCTTAGAAATCTAGACGCAACCTAGCGGCAGCAAAAATTATTTTGCAGCCAGTGTGGTCTAGCAAATCTCAGGCCAATCACATCGTGTATAGAGTTGGTGGGCGTGGCTTAACACAATGACGGCAGAGTTGAGCCGTGATTTCAATAGGTGATTTCCCTGCTACTTGCGAACAGCGGTCTTTCGATTCGCTTTGGCCACGACTCTGGATGACTTGGAGTTAAGAGAATGTCACTTGAGTCATTCTTAAAAAAGGAAGATGTGTTCGGAGTTTGTACGACTGGATACGGCAAAAGTTTAATATATCAACTTGCTCTGCTGGAGGGAAAACGCATGGGACTGACCATTCGTTGCTCTGGTTGGTTAGCGCTATAACAACCTTTTACAGTATCTCGCCCTTCGGATTGAGGTATGCCATTTGTGAGTTCCCAGACCTAACATCTTGATGTAAGTCTGGCTTGCCAGGCTAATAGTAGGCTACAGTATATATTGCAAAAATCACTGCCTAAACAGTAATAATCCAAAAACAATAGGTATCCGACCGCTTCACTCAAACTGCCTTTGCTCTCAAAAAATTGCAGTGTGCAACTACTCTAGCACACTACGCAGAGTACTGTATCCCACAATGCAGTGCTCTCGACTTCACTTTCCCACAGGTTTCACTGAGCTAGTGCTGAGGTCAAATGGGTGGCCTTCCAGGTGATATTGTTTGGCTTTGTGAACACCTGTAGGGTCATCAAATGTTAGGAACACTGAGAAAGGTCATGCTCTAATCAGGGCACACACACACGGCACAAGATAAAGGATTGTTTGCACAGGCTTTTATGGCTTATTCTCCGCAGTGGATCCCCAGCTAAAACCAAATGGTATAATTTTGACTATATACTATGATACTCCAATTATACCTTTACTGTCGCGGGGGCGGGACAACCTGTCACAGTATTAGCAAACCACAACCATCAATTCCCCATGGACAAATTCAAGTTTTGCCCTACACTTTTTCTAGTTTGAGAAACTGTTTCACTTGGATATAAGTCGAAACGATCGGAAATTTTATTTCATGCAGACT